CAAGGGTTGTTTATCAATTGTCAACTAGTTTAAAGTATAACTTCTAAATAATGTAAGATGAAATGAATTTTATCAATAATAAAAAATTTACAATACATAATGTATATAAAAAAAATTCATGAGATGTATTACACAAGATTTGAGAAACAATATTCAACAACTTGTAAAGAGGTCAATACAAAATAAGTGTGAAAGTGATTTTATAACTTAATTGTCAACTCAAGTCGATGTAAAGTATGAAAGAAGCATAATCATTGAGAAAGAAAATTAAGATAAAATATGAAACTATGAATTAATGTCTTTATCTCTCTCTTTACTATATAAATAAGTTTCATTATTTAATGTGTTACAATGCAAATAATACTTTAGGAATGAGAAAATTTAAGGTACAACATCCCTAGTAATTTTCATAATTACTAGTTTGTAAAGGTTTAAATTAAAGTAGTATTAAAAGTTTAGAGATTACAACATAAGAATTTTGAAATAGTTTAAAGATTATCATTCATTTTCCTTTTTTATGTGAAACATGTTATATTATTTTTATTTATTTATTATTATTATCATCATTATTTATTTATCTAAAATTTATCATCTATATATAAGTTAAACAATTTATTTGTCATGTACAGTGTTCTTTTATTTTTCAAAGTTAAAGTTAGTTTTAACTAGTTACCTTATTGTTTGCCTTACATTAATTTTCTTCCATTATACTCCAAACGTGGACTCCTTAAAAATACCAATGTGTAGATTATACATGCACTCTTAAATAACATTAGGAAAAATATTAGTTGTGAGACAATTTATACCGAATAATCTATTTGTGGTGACAAAATACTTTTTAAGTCTAGTGCTTTGTTCACTTAAACAAAAATTGATAAATTTTAGACACTATTATTATTTTTGTGTGTTCTCTATTAAATTTTTTCAATAATCTTGAAAATACTTTATTATGGATACAACAATGCTTACTACCACAAAAAGGTAATTTTGTTTATACAAGTGATATAAGTGTAGTAGTTACTTTTTAGACCAATCATTTGATGAAAAAAAAAAAAAAAACTCTTGGGGTTATAGACTTCAAGACCATAAAACATATATGTAGAAATCAAAATACACAAAAGAAAGATTAATACTATTTTGATATATATTCTTCTATGATTAGGACATCATCTATTAAATTATTGATACTTTTGCATTTATACATAACTTAATAGTACATCAAATGAATGTAAAGACTAAGTTCATAAATGAAGATTTAGATGAAGAAATCTACGTGAATCAACTTGAAGGATTTGTGATTCTTAATAGTGAGAATAAAGTTTGTAGATTAGTTAAATCTCTACATGGTATTAACTAAGCACCTAAGTAATAACATGAAAATTTTAATAAAATAATGTTGATAAATGACTATCAAGTAAACAATTCGGATGAGTGTATTTATAGTAGTACATTTGATGATAATTTAAATAGTTTTATTATTTATTTATATGTTGATGATATGCTTATAGTAGGAACAATATAAACATGATTTACAATGCTAAATAATTCTAATAATCATAATTTGACATTAAGGACTTAGGTGAAACTAACTTAATTTTAAGAATTAAATTAAACCAAATTAAAGAATGGGTACAGAATGTCTTAAGAACATTTTATTGAAAAAAATATTAAGAAAATGTTTTATAATTCTTAACTAGCGAGTACTTTTATGGTGCTAGTTACTTGAAAACAATAATAAAAATGATGTATCTCAAGTTGAATGTGCTCAAATAATTAGGAGTATGTATATTTGATAAATTGTTCAAGGCTTAATATTGCATGTTGAAAAATAAGTAAAGTAAATGTATTTATAATTCTAATAAAGATAATTGGATTGTTTTATATAAAGTTTTAAAATATTTTTATGGAATTATAAACCTTGGTTTAAAATTGAATACACACACATATAGGGCGGGATCTTCTAACGGCCAGTGAAGTAATAAATTATAACTCGTTAGATGCAAGTTAAATGAAAGGTTCAGATTTAGTGTAAGAGTTTTAGACTTACACTGATGTAAGAAGGTCTTTTTCTATATATATATATATATATATATATACACTTTTAATATCAATATTTTTTGCACACCAAAACCAAAATTGATAAATTTATTGTGTTTATTTTATTTTTCATATAATTATACCTTTTTATATTATTATTATTGTGTGTGTTCTTTATTACATTTTTCTGATATTGTGAAACATATGTGCATGTTAAGTGCGATTGCAATTTCCTTGTAGGTTTGTTGTTTCTGAGCATATGTATTTTTTTAATACATGAGAAGAATGTGAATTTAAAATAAGAGAAAAGGTTTAACAAAGTGGACATTATGGATTTTTGTTGCCATTTGACACAATTTGTTCTTCCGTAATTAAAAGATGTTGAATTCACTAGTTATTTGGTGACAAAATTGTTTTAAGATGCAATGTTTAACTATATTGCTTTTCATGTTTGTGTGAGTTATGCATCAAGAATGAAACATGAATTGAGTTTAGAAAGGATCTTTGAAACATAAATAAAATTACTTTTGATCTCTAGAGAGAGCAAATGTAGATATGAATGTGGTGTCACCAACTAGGTTGAGCACAATTCAACTTATATTAAAACTCTAATTATTATTTTCAAATGTAAAGACATCATTTGACTCTCATAAAACACTGACATTAAGAGAATTACTTCTTCTTTTTTTTTGTAAATTTGACTTTGGATGACTAATAAGCACCACTTATGGTGTATTTGGCTACTCCTTTATTTTGAACAAACGTGGATATGATATATGTAAACATATGTTGAAGCATCGATATATATGTTAAAAAAATCTTTAGAAGCACTTCTTTTCCATCAAATGTGAGTTAGATTCCATGCTACCCCTTTTGGTGTTTTCTTTAATTTGTATTTTTATCCCTTATTTCAAGTTGCTATTCTCTTGTGTCTCTAATAATTTCCTACACATTCTTAATAGCTTATTGATTATAGTGTATGTTTTGGTTGAAATGTCTGGTATATTTAATGTTGTTCCCCTCATTCCATAGGTGTAGCATTATGTATTGATTTGGTTATTAGTCATTCAAAGTTGAATACAATACAATAATATTGGAAGTCTCGAATAGTACACCTCTTTGCAATAGCAATAATCAACTTTGCTAATTATATTATAATTTTTTTATGTTTGAATTAGAATAGAAAAAAAAAACTTTTTATAACCCTCTTCTTTCTCTCTCTCTATCCCCCTCTCTCTCTCTTTTATGTTTGAATTAGAATTGAAAAAAAAAACTTTTTATAACCCTCTTCTTTCTCTCTCTTTGTCCCTCTCTCTCTTTTTTATGTTTGAATTAGAATTGAAAAAAAAAACTTTTTATAACCCTCTTCTCTCTCTCTCTCTCTCTCTCTCTCTATATATATATATATATATATATATATATATATATATATATCACTTTGACTTAAAATTAATTCTTCACAATTATATTATTCTAAAATGTGTTTTTAAATACACTTAGAGATTGATTGGGTCGAGGTGAATATTAAAGATATTATCTTATTTTAACCTTTAATTTCTCTTAAGAACTAGTGAACTACTCTATATATATATATAGGGGAAGGATCTTCTTAAACCTAATGGTTATTATTTATAACTCGTTAAATTTAAATTAAATAAAAAGTTTAAATTAGATGTAAGAGTTTTTGTGTGTGTGTGTGTATATATATATATACACACACAAAAAAGTTTTAACTTTGATAATATATCACTAGTTTTCTACAATAATTGATTGCTAGTTAGTAATTCTAATTCTTCAACTTTTATAATTAAACTTTGTTGTAGTGTCACAAACTCATTGATATTCAAGTAAGTTTTAAAAACTTTTAAGTGACAAGATTAGTTTAACAACTTGGTGTCTGATATTAGCATACATGTGAATCTATATTTATTTTAATGCTACTAGTTGTAGCTTATATATTAAATGATCATTTGGAAACTTTTTCATGTCTAATCGTACACGAGCATTGTTTACTTTCAAGTAATTTGAGTATGGATGTAACATAAATAGCATAGATTAAACTTAACATAAAAGATGAATTAGTTTGGTCACTTACAATAGAGAAAAACAAATAAATTACTAAAAAAAAATTATACATTCTATGTCAAAATGTTTAAAGGAATTGGGTAAAACACAAATTAAAGAAACAAAAAAGTTAATAGCTATATGATAGACAGATATTGCTTTAAGCAAGTATGTACAGTAAAAGTTAGTACGGATGAATTAATACACATAACGTCTAAGAGAGATTGAATACATATTTCCTAAAAATAACATGTTTTTGAGATTTGAACTAAGAAAAATGTTAGTAATATATTAAAAAATTATTAAAAATTAAAAAAATTATATGAGTTTTACTCTTTTTCACTCATAAATTAATACTTTTCTATCATACCTTTATAGTTTTGAATCAATTATAATAATAAAAAAAAATGTGTTAAAAGTAAAGTATTAAAAAATGTGTTGATAGCATTTTATCAATAACTTTCAAGTTAAAAAAATAAAATTCTTATGATTTAATTAAGACTCAATATCGTATTAAAAAAAATCAAAAGTTTTAATTTTTGGAAAAAAAAAAGTCTTTATCATCAACGTTAGTTCTTAATTCTTGTGAAATTTTATACTAATAATCTGTATCATAAACAAAATATCTACGACCATAAGGGACTTGAGCACCACAATCCCCTTAGGAGCACTAGAAAGCAAAAGGGCTACTAGGGAGAGCCTTCTAGTATCTATAATATATGCAAAGTGCTTCAAGGATATCCATACACTGACCAAAAAGGACTGGTTTGCAAATATTTCATTATAAAGTGGAGTAACTTGCAAAAAAGGTAAAAGAATGTATCACCTGCAATTACGGGAAATATATGGTGGAACAATAGAATAGTATAATATTCCAATTCCACCCCGGTTAGCCCAAAAACGCCGCTTGCTCCTTAGCTTGGTAATTCGATGGCGGCGATGGGTTGCTTCGCCAAACCCACCGTTCGCTCATGAAACCCAAACCCTTTTTCTTTGTCTGTCTCAAAAGATATTTTGGCGCGCAATCTCACCACCATCCCCATCCCCATCCCCTCATGGCCCAAACCCCAACCTCTCTCGATTCAAAGCAACACGACGACCCCGCCAACCTAAGCGGAGAATCTCGGGTGGAACGGGCGTGGGCTCATTGGGCCAAGTTGGGTCGGCCCAGATTCATTGTGGCCCCCATGGTGGACAATTCGGAGCTACCCTTTCGAATGCTGTGCCGCAAGTATGGTGCTGAGGCTGCATACACCCCGATGCTGCATTCCCGCATTTTCACAGAGACCGAAAAGTACAGGAAGGAAGAATTCACCACTTGCAAGGTATAATAATCCTTTCTTTCTATTTTTGCAACTGCATCGTTCCTATTACTTTGTTATTATCACTGACTTTGGGAGCAATCGCAGGAGGATCGACCACTCTTTGTCCAATTTTGTGCCAATGATCCAGATGTGTTGTTGGAAGCTGCACGCAAGGTGGAGCCTTATTGCGATTACGTTGATATTAATCTTGGGTAATGTATATGAATATTATTTGCCTTGTCTTTGCTTTTAATCTGTTTCATATCAGTCAGTACCTTTTGTGCTTCTCATTTGTGGTATAGTGTATGTGGAAAGGAATGGAAGACTGTTGGTAAATTCATGACTTTTAAGGATTAGTTGCCTCTGTGAAGAGTAAATTTTACTACTTCCTTCTTGTGAGATGCTTAAATCACACTACCCGTCGTTCTAATTTTTACATCATTGGCAGCTATTTGAGCCTGTACTAACTGTGGGACTTTAAAAGGTGATATATAGATTTTGGTGATTGTATGATTGAAATTTCATTTCATATTTTTAAGTCCTAAAGTTAATAATACGGTGTTTAAAATTAGTCTTAGCTGACATTGAAAGTTATAAAGAAAGGAAAATTTCCATGGGATGCTCACTCATAGTTGTTCACCACTGTCAAGAGGTTTGTTTATATTAAAATGGATTGAAGTTTAGTACATTCATCTCTCTGGTGATGAGAACACTTTTTTACAATTAGAGAAGAGGTCAGTGTAATTTAATCATCTTTTAGGGAAGGAGAGTGTAATGTCCTCTAGTTTAAGATGGTAGCTACTATACAAGAAATTCTTGTGTTCTAGGAGTGAAGACGGTTTTGTTAAGTACAATTTAATGTGTATTACCGTTATAACATTAAAAATTTTGTTTAAGTGAGAGATAGCGATCATCACATGGCTAGCATGATACACTTACGTATTAAAAATACAAGAACTTTTTTCGAATTCCAAGTATATTCGACAAATTCTTGTCATTATACTTCGTTAAGCCCTTTGGATTTACTTAATTAATACTTGTAATTAAAATTTTGGTGGATTTATTGTATTTGACACTGTAGGTGTCCTCAGCGCATTGCTAAACGGGGAAACTATGGTGCCTTTTTGATGGATAACCTTCCTCTTGTGAAATCTCTGGTGGAAAAATTGGCTGTCAACCTGCAGGTTCCTGTTTCATGCAAGATTAGGCTCTTTCCAAATTTGGAGGACACTTTGAAGTATGCTAGGATGCTTGAGGAGGCTGGTTGTATGCTTTTAGCTGTACATGGCAGGACAAGGGATGAGAAGGATGGGAAGAAATTTCGAGCAGACTGGAAAGCTATTAGAGCCGTGAAGAATGCTGTCAGAATCCCAGTCCTTGCAAATGGGAACATAAGGCATATGGATGATGTTAGAGACTGCTTGGAACAGACGGGGGTTGAAGGGGTGCTTTCTGCTGAGACCCTGCTTGAAAATCCAGCTCTCTTTGCTGGATTTCAAACTACTGAATGGGTGTCTGAATGTGAAGGAACTAATGCGGATGGGAAACTGGACCAGGCAGATCTGCTAATAGAGTATTTGAAGCTTTGTGAAAAGTATCCTGTGCCATGGAGAATGATTCGTTCTCATGTTCATAAATTGTTGGGAGACTGGTTCAGCCTCCAGCCTCACATCAGGGATGAACTTAACAAACAATCTAAACTGACTTTTGAGTTTCTTTATAACATGGTGGATCAACTTAGGGCTACAGGTACAAGAATTCCACTGTATAAAGGTACCCAGGTGGAACTTACAGCAGACAGTTACACAGATAAACAAAGCTGCACACCAACATTTGGAGTTTAAAGTTAAACCAGAACCTGAATGAAATATATTCTGCAGTGGATGGTGCGGTCAGGCCAAGCTGGCATAACTGCACATGATTTAGATACAATTTTGTAATGATTAGAAGTGAGAACAGTTCTAATTTTGAATCTCCTTTTGAGTTGTAATTGTCTTCATTCTTATGGCAATTGCCATTTGGCAGTGTTGTACAAGTAACACTATTAAAACGCTGATGCATGCTCTGAGCTGACAAATTAATGTGATTGTCTTGAATATTTGACAGGGTGGATTGCTTTATGATTCCGACTGCTGCAACACTCTGATAACATTACTGTCTGTTAAACTTGTTTGTAACATGTTTATTCGGTTTTGTCTAATGTTGTATGATATATGACAACTGGAACTTCGTGGATGCCCCATTTCTAGTTGAAACTGAAACTGTTCTCAGGACATAAATTGAGAATGAAAACGTTGATAGATAACAGACGTGAGGATCTTGCTATACTAGATGTTTGACTTATTACACACCAGAACAAATAAAACAAGGTTATTCGAAAACAAAATTTGTGAGGACCTTTCTAGTTAGATGCTCTCCATATAAAGGTCTTCCAAACTTCTTATTGCCATTTGCCTTTGTTTTATGTGTATCCAACGGCTCTACTGCAGTGTCGAAGTTCGTCTGTTCGTGGAGTAGTGGCATATGGGATAAGAAACGAAACAAAAGAGAGAAAAAGGATGATACATTAAGTAGAAAACGGGGCCAACCTCGTAAAAATATACTACGCTGACTCTATATTTTGGGGAGTTGTTTATCACCCGGTGAAAAGTTGACTCGTATAAACCATTGGAGTATATCTGCAGTTCTCTTCCACACTTGATCAGATTATCTACCAAACCTCATGTAGTATTGCTGAAATGAAGAGATAAGTGTAAGATACCTTTAGCATGTCACCAATGTTGCACACAAATGACCCAGGAACTGGAGGTGCTGATATCCATTCGCCAGACAGGTTTTTCACCTTAAAAAGTTTCACAGCATAAACATAGTGACCAAAAAAAAAAAAAAAGAAGAAAAACACCAGTATAAAATGGGGAGAAAAATGCACACCAAAAAGAAAAAGGAAGAAAAATTTCCAGAAAACATGATGAAACTAAAAGCGATGTATTTGGCCCATAACAAAAAGTTTCTAGATTTTAGTATTGTACTTAGTTCGTGTTGAAATTGTCTCAACTAACCATAATAGAAGAACGGACCAGCTGCTAAAGTAAATTGCCACAAGACAATTCGTTGCATCTCTTTCTTTTGAAGGGTGGTTTCAGGGCCATTAAATATTATCAAAAGATAAAATGGAAAACAGTTTCATTTTATTCTAGAAAAACCTTCAATCACACCGAGAAAATGGGGATGAAAAAACAAGTCATCTCAGAAAGGTTAAATCGGTTGCAGCGAGTATAGAAGTAAAATCAATAACTGCATGCAATAAATGAAGAGCATGAAATTCCTAATATACAGAGAAGATATAAATCAGTGCATACCTGAAGTGCGTTTATATCGTCATCCTGGTTAAGCAAGGTCAAAAGACCTGTTAAGCAGTATCTAGAATCACTGACAACGGCTAAACAGATATTCTAGAAATGTCATAATGTAAAGGTTAAGACATACCATAATCAGTGTGAGCTCCACTGGATTTATTTTGATTCCAAGAAATGGAAAAGAAAAGGTAACATAAAGGAGAAGATGTCAGTAATGTAAGGCCTAATATTAATAAAGAAAAAAAATGGTAACGTTCGGAAACTTTAGACTGGGATCTCATTACCATCCAATATCATTTTTCAGAACATCGGTTGCATTTACAGTGGATACACCAGGATAACCAATGAGCCGCATTACCCAAAATGGATCCCCAGCTCTTCTACCTTCAAATTCATCTGGCGATCCACCTAATGCTAAAGCAATTCCACGCATAATTTTCCTTGCAAGCTCTGCTCTAACCAAGGAACTACATTAGTAAACTAAAATTCAACTGAAGGAATTCACATGCAAACCACAACCTACCTTATTCCACTAGGTGAGGTTAGCTAGGTGGATTATAAGATGCCATCTAACTGAAAGAAATCACATGATGGTAAAAAAAAATAGGGGAGGTGTAGAAGGCATACCTGTGCAGAGACTAATATACTCCTCCATAATAATTTTACATGTTGGAGGATTTTGTGGCCTGCATGGTGAACCCCAAAATGAAAGTCTCAAAAACCAGACATCAGTTCCAAAAGACTTGAGCATTATCTTGGGAAAGAAAGACATTTTCTGAATGTTAATACTCTCAACTCTCAAGTGCAATGAATCAAATGCTAGGATATCAGAGTCATAGATCAGATAGTATATTAATACAGGTATAGGCATTAATAAAAAGAAAAACCCCATTTCCGTATACCACTGGTTGCTTCCTTCCATTACTTTGCCAAGATCTCCGTACATGCCTCTAGTCACTTCCCTATAGCACTGTTAAATGAAATTAAAGAAATCATTTATTGCTTGATAGAAGCACAACTAGAGTGAATTTTTAGACCAGCTATGCTAGGCTCCAATCAAAGAAAGACAATATATTAGGTGGGACTAGTGACTGTGAAATGTGCAAGCAGGTGGCCTCTTTTGGGAAATAATATTACACTCAGATTTTAAAATACACCAAGATGAGCCTAATGTCAATATGTTTAACATATCTATCGAAAAAGGACAACTCACAAGTAGAAACAAAGACACCTAGTTTTATGTCAATTAACAAGAGTGACTTACATCAATAGCTTCATGCATGTCAGGTACATCTTTAGTTATGTTTTCTCCAATCCTTTGATAACCTCTGCATCAGTTAGTTGGGGTAGTATCAGCAGAAATTGGATGGATAAACCAGACGTGGCAAGAAGTGAAGTGATGCTTATATACAAAGTACAGATACAGGGATCGGTGTAACCAAGCAAACCTGTACCCAGTAGCCGGAGTCATTTTGATCTTTGCCTTTTCTTCGTATGGAAGTTCAAAGAATCTGCGTGTTACATCTTTAACCACTTTGAGGAGAGTATCAGGAATACCATGTCCTTTCTGTTAATCAAGAAACGTAGGAATTCAACATTAAACATAAAATAGCCCAAGTGTCATGCATGGTTTTAAATTTCACAATCACGAGGATGAAAATGGTGATGAAAAATTCACAGATTAATTTCTATAAAATTTTACTAGTAACATAAACTTATTCATGAAATTTTCATCTGCATAATAAACAGGCCCCCCTTAGGTTTTTTATTCATTAATGGTTTATTTAATGGTAACTCTTATTTGAAAGTTTTTAAATGTGAGAGAATTTTTATAAACCCTATAAAACTATCATAAAATCATGTTTTTAAGTTCTCTTAAATTGGGAGAGGGAAAGTTTGTAAACCTTTATTCTCCTTCCTTGTCTTTCAAATTTTTCTTTTCCCTCTCCCTCTAAACTCTCAAACAATAATTTTGTTTAAGTTTGCTTAAATTCAAGCTATCAAATTAACTTAGCATGTGAAATCAAAGGTATATTCATTTACTATGAGTCATTACTTTCTCCTTCTTTCTCTCCATCCATTTTACTTCATTGTTTCTCAGTTTCCTTATTTAAATCACTACAAATTAACAGTGTATGAGACACTGCATATAATTAATTTTATCTCTCACTTACTTTTTATCTTTTTTACATACGTACATCTAAAAAGTACACACAAAAACACAAAGGGTAACCTTTCCCATCATTGTTTTTTCTTCTCTATTGGTCATTTCAATCTTCAAGTAATATTACCAATATGCCATTCCCAAGCTACAGAACCATTATTCTATATTTAATCGGAATCTGTATCTATATGAAATTCAAAACGTCAAATGTGTTAGTAAAAGTTGTAGTGGACCCACTGCAATGTATGCGGTTCTGCATAACAAAGATTCACCCCCATTTGTCTCCCAATTCTAAAACATACTTACTTTTTGGTTTCAACCCTCATTTGCAGCAAGACTACCTAAAGCAACGAAATAAAAGAAAAAAAAAGGTGAATAGATGCAAAATCAATTACCACGTAGAAGAACCCTGCCTCTGTACAAGCCTTATCCAATTGTCTAACAACCTCAAGTACACCCGGGTTCTCAGCCATTTTTGGATCATCAGCCTTGGCTAAAAGGGAACTAATATCTGCATTTAAAAATGAAAGAGTTATCAGATTCAGAAACTAGCACACAAAACAGTCCTTCTCTTAGGTCTATGTTACTGTATATATATATTTTACTCCACAATTCTCCATTATACGCACTGAATACTTAATCGTAAAAACAGTCCTAACTAGATCCAGTTGTAACATGTTATAATAATTTGGATAAAGCAAGTGCAAGTGTATATTATATCAAAATCATGGAATCTCGTGTTTGTGCGTACTCTAGGAAAATACACAGGAAGAAATGAAGCGAAACCGTAGATATGTTTAATGGAATTGAGAGTTGGGCAGTGAAGTATACCAATCATGGGGATGGAACTAAAGTCCGTGGCCATCGGTGGTTGTGATGATCTCAAAGTACTGTGTAGCGTGCAGAGGTGACGGGGTGTGCTCTTGCTGAGGCTAATATAAGGAAATCTAACGGCTTATCATGTCATTCGGGGGATACTTCCTATCTTTTCCGTAAGAAAAATGTACCTTACTTATTCATTGTTTGTGACCGTTGATTGAGAAGATTTTTAATTGGATGGTTAATAATGCATGGTGGGAAGCTGGCAATACATGTTACATATGCTGAATGACAATTCGGTGACTTGCTCAAGCTTAGTGAAAAAAGAAAAAAGCACGTAGCTTGTCCAAGTAAGTTTGGTGTTTTTTTTTTTTTGAAAAAAATCCTTGACATTCCGAGAGTTTGTTTCTTTAGATTCTAATTTATATATTGACTCCAATATTAGTTGTTATTGTTTGACTTTGTTCTTGCAGGGGGGACATTTCTTTCTTCATTTGAAATAAAGGAAACCCAATAGTGTTGAACAATTATGTGGAAGGTGAGCTGTTAATCATTGTTATTTTTGCATTCATTTTGAATATATATACATATATATTGTGTGTGTGTGTGTGTGTGGATGAGAGGGTTACGTTGTTTGTTGTGTTAATATATAATATAGTTCATGGTGAATGAGAAATAATAATTTTTTACCACATAAATTTTTTGGCATAGTGCATACAGAGGTTGTAGAGTGATATATTTTTATTTTTAAGAATGTAACCTGTTGTGATCATATATTTAAATTTTTAAGTTTGATTGATATTTTTGAATGTGACATGCATCTTTCTAGTTTGCATTTTTTGGTTTGCAATGATGCATTTGTGTTACGGTAATTAAATATGTGATAATAATTGTGTATATCCTGATTTGTGTGTATAGGTTGTAAATTGCATGTGGCATGATATTTTATGGTATATTAATATGGTTGTGCAATTTATCATTTGTCATATTACATTATAATGCAAGGAGATGTTTTCTAATATGTATGTGTTTAAAAATTTGTCTGTAAAAGGTGTAAATGACATATGGTTCAATGGTTAGTCTAAATAATTGTTGAAGATTGGATGTGAGGTCTGGTGAGGTACGTCTAAACCAAAGTCAAGGTGATTTTATTTACCTTTGATTCAAAAGTGATTAGTTCTTTTACTAATATTATTTTTAAAATACTTGTTTATTAGTAGATATTAAGATTTTGAGGTTTGACTAGTTTGCATTGTAATATTTGGTTGTAGTATCTTCTAGAGATTTCATTAATTTTCTTAGAGATCATTCGTTCATTCTATCTCTGATGTTATTTCACTGCATAATTCAATTGGTAGTGAAATTAGAGTAAATATAATGAGAGTCGAAACAAAATTTTTCCTTAGCCACAAATGAGAAAGATTGGTTCAATTTATGATTTTAACGATGGGGGCTAGTTGAATTTTTTTTTATGAAGAACATTTGTTCCACACTAGAGTGTATGATACCTTCCTTAATGAAATAATAGCAAAGAAGTGCAAGATATTATAAAACTCTATCTCAATGTATAGTGAAAGTGTGATGTGAACTTGCAAGAGAATTTAGTAATGAAATTTTTCTTGATGGTAATGAAGAGGATAACAAGTTTGATTTCTCATTTAAGAAAAGACTTTATGTATTTTAGGGCAATAACTTTTTGGTAAGTTAATATTGTTATATTTTATATGTATTATGTGTTATGTTATTTTATTTAATGGATAAAATATCCACAAATTTTGTATTAATGTGAAAGATTTTGCTTCCTAAATCTTGTGCTAAAGGATTAGCTCATAAGTCCAAAAAATACTCACTTCAACATAATGATAGGGTTTTCTTTAAAGTTGATGTGTATTGAACTAGAAAATAAAGATAATCCATATACCTAAAATTTGAATGACATCATTTAGTATTATGAATGACATCAATGCTAAAAATATCTTCAGATTTGGCATGAAAGCTAATAAGAACAGAATTATCCTTGTTTAAGTTATATGTTAGTTATAGAATTTTGTATATTTTTACAACCATAAACAATTTTTGTTTTGGTGTTTTGCCCGTTTTAATTTACTAATATTTATGTTGGAAGTATAAATTAGATAAATATTTATTTTGATAAAGTTTTAAATATCAAAAATTAATTTTTAACACTTAATAATAATAATAATAATAATAATAATAATAATAATATGCCGTAAAAGAAGGAATGGAAGTCACATAACCTCTTAATTAAAACTCAATTCACAGTTGATTATGTTTTAACCAAAGCAATTATTTATATAGTAACCTAATCATGTATATTATGATCATGTATATTTCAGAAATGTGTTTACAAAGCTTATTAATTTATAATGTGAGGAATAATTTTAAAAGGTTTACAAAGGGTAATACAATACAAATGCAGTATTTTCAATATAAATAGAACGTTAAATATGTAAAAAAAGGCTTACGTTTATTGAGAATGAAGATATATACAACATAACATAATATTTCAGCACATAATTATTAATATTCAAACAATCAATTTTATGATAATTATTTCATTAATAATAAGTTTAAATAAATTTTAAAAACTTTAGATATATATATATATATATATATATATATATATAATTTTTATGATTATATTAAATGTAAGGGAAGTATGAAATCCATTTTAATCGATTACAATGAATTGCATATTAAAAGAAAATCTATGATCAAAATAATTAATAAATTAAACCTATGTATTGTGCATATCATTAGTTCCATTCCAAAAACAATAGGAATATATATTTAATATATATATATATATATATATATATATATAAAATAATTATAATTATATTAATTATTTAGTACATATAGAAATATAAAAGGAAAATAGTTTTTAGAGGTAAAAAATGATATCCCAAAAATATTTTTGTTAACCATATTTGGTAATATAACTTCGGTGTGTATGTTACACGGTATAAGTAAAGAAATTATTTAATGATTATAATTCAAATGGTAATAAGTGTATATATTTATTTTTAATTTGATTTTTTTAAGAACTCTTTTTATTAAATTTTGATATTTTTTGTACTTTAAAAGATAGATAATTTGCAAAAACAAACACAGTTGATTGTGAAATTCATTTAACCTATGTAAAATGTGTTGATTTTGTTTTAAGTTAATTTAGAAAAATTATATGAAATAGACAAATTTGAAAAAGTTATTGAAAATTGGACAAATATATTTAACTGGAAACAATAAACCAAAATATTGACTTTAATTTGAAACAATTAATAAAATATGTTGTTTTACTGAAGTTTGAAATTGACCTAAATTTATTAAAAGAAAGAGTTATATTTTTTAACATTAAGAGTTAAAAAAAAATAGATATAAACATTTTACATAAACTTATTAGTCATAACAACAATAAAAAAAAAATAGATATAAACATTTTACATAAACTTATTAGTCATAACAACAATCAATGATAAAGTTAATTCATATTCATAAACTTGACATTCCAAAATAAATCCCATTGACCTTGCAGTGTAAAGATATATAGAAGGAGTATGAATTAATATAACAACACACTGGTGTTACATAACTTAAAACACTGATTTATTTATTTTGAAGTATAAAAGAATAACAAATTGTAATGAAAAACTCCAAACTATATTGTGACGGTCAAGTTCTAAGGTTGTAACAAAAGTTTCTATGTTTACGAGAAAAATTTGCAGGTTGTAAACAAATAAATTCAAGAGCAATTTAGGAATTAGATTTTAGGTCTTTTTAGATTTTTTTTAAGTCTATAGTTTAAATGTAATGTCTAAATTGACGTTGTAAAGCAAAATATTATGCGAGAATGGGAAATAACAATTATGTAGAACCAAAATGAATATAGAAGTTTTACAAAGACATGTTAAACAAGAACTAAATAATAGGAACAGAAACAAGAAGAATGAACTAAAACAAATTGCAGAAATGTAAACCTATGACTCTTCACAGTGAACAACAATGACCGTGAGTCTCTTGGTAACTAGTGTCTAGTTCAGTGCAAAATTTCAGCATATAGAGAGTTTAGGTATCACGCCTGGGTGCAAAAAGTCGTCCCTTGAAAAATAAAGTTTTGTGGTATTTATAGGTAGATGGACCACCACCATTCTCCTCTTTTCGCAGGCATTTCTCAGTAATTGCCTTCTATACGTGCTTATCTTTAACCGTTGCTGCCCATTACTGCCCATTATCCATGACTGCTTCTGATCGTGCTGACGGTTGTGGCTTCTTTCATAACTACTACCGCTCACAATCTTTCTTCGTGTCTTGAACTTTCAACTGATGGTAACTGCTAATAACCATTTTGAGCCTTATAATTCTTTTGATATCACTCTTTTAGCCCTATCATGTGTCTTGTGGATTTAGAATATTTTTCCTATGATTTTTTATTTTTTAACCAATTTTGAGAGAAATCTGATAGCTCATTCAATCTTGTGGACTTAGAATAATTTCTTCCTCGGTTTTTATTTTTTGACCAATTTTGAGAGAAATCTTAGAGATCTTCTAGACCTGTAAACTTAGAATAATTTCTTTCTCAGTTTCTACTTTTCAACAAATTCTGGGAGAAATATGAGAGTCCATTCAATCTTGTGCACTTAGAATAATTTCTTCATCAATTTCAATTTTTTGAGTAATTATGAGGGAAGTCTAGGATCTCACTCATTTTTGTGAACTTCAAATATTTTACTTGTCAATTCTTGTTTTTCGACCAATTCTAGGTGTTAGGACTTGAAAATCTTCAAAAATTTCTCGAAAGACCTTCAGTCTTGTGGATTTAAAATATTTTCCTTGTCAGTCCTATTTTTTTACTAGTTTTGATTATTTTCAATTCAAGAACTAGAAAATCTTCAGAAACTCTTCAAAAAAACCTTCAGTCTTATGAACTAGAATAATTTTCTTGTCAGTCTTATTTTTTGACCAAAAATGGGTCTCTTCATATTCTGTCAAAACTGCTTGAAATATGACCTTCTTGAAGAGGCTCTTCTTCAAATCTCCTTGAAAGGCTACCCACTTTGACAAAGAATGAGTTTTCTTATAACTCTTCAAAACTACTCGAAATATGGT